AACAAACTTAATTTTGAGCAGGAATTTTTTAATCTGTTAACATGCTTTATGAAAATGTACATGTTTCTTGGTGAGAGAGTGAGAGATATATTATCTATCAGAGTCTTGGTTACGTTCTTTAAGAGGCTCACCAGTCATTAACCACAGAATATGCACAACTCCCATGCGCCTGTTTATGTTAGGACACTACGCTTGAAAAAGTAGTATTTTTACATTGTTTAGTAAAACCTAACAGTGGCAGTGATAATGGTTGATATTGAAAACTCAAGTCTGCTTTTTCCTGTTGTAGATTGAATGGTGTTTGAACAAATTTGTGTTTTATATAGTGTGTTTCTGTGTATTTTTTCCTACCAATTGTAAAAATCGAATACACAATTCAGGGGTGCATCAGCATTTCCTGCTTTTATACGATTTTGTTTGATTGAATAAATTGAAATGAAATTTAAAATTGAAATGTATCTTATTTAAACCAGATTTTCTGTATGCACCAACTTCAGATTATCAAGCCTAAAACAAACAGCAGAAAACGTTCCTTTCGTGTGATAGTGCTTTGGAATAATTTACTATCTCATGTTAGGGCACTGTGTATACACAGATTAAAAAAAAAGCTATTATCCAAACAGTGTCACTTAAACACTCGACGTCTACTTTTCAAAATTGTTGATTTGTGTGTTTATTGTTTAACGTTTATTTTGTGATTAAAGTAAGTCTTTTAAATGCAATTTTATTGTACTGTTTCCGTCCTATGTTATTATGTCATTTTAAATGTGTTTTAGTCGTGGGAAACTAACCCGACAGGGTTAAAAGGTTTCGTAAAAAAATGAAATGAAAGTGCTTTATTTTGATTCTCTCTGCTCTGCAACAAGGTCTGCCAGCCTTGTTATCCACTCCGAAATACAGACAATTACGTCCGTATATTACATATACATTTACATAAAGCCTATAAAATGATCGACAAATTCCTGTTCAAAATTAAGTTGTTTGATCTTTACGTTATGAATATATGTATCTGTGTCACATTGTGTGGGCTTGTGATGATGGTGTGTGATGGAATAATACAAATGAAAAAAAAAACATATCTTGATTTTTGAGCGTTTAATATTTGGGCCCTACCTTTAGCTACTAAGTACCGGTATACCTGGTGTGTTTTTCAGCGAATTCAAAATAAAAATAGTTGCTTTCCTGTGCAGGCTTATGTAGTCATTTCAATGACGAAATATGACAAGACGGGATAATTTTTTATTATATTTCAGTCCATACCATATGGTATGGATGAAATATATTGTGTTCTCTCGTGTTTATTCTCCTTCTCCTGCCACACAGTCAAATGAATTCAACTCTGTAATTTTTTAGCCAAATGACCTGAAATTTGGCATGGAGGTAGAGTGGGCCCAGGTGTGTTTTTCATTTTTTGATACATGCCTTTGAAAATTTTTTATGAAGGTTTTTTGGGGGCATTTTTCGACAAATAATGGATTTTTGGATCCTGAGCCCTGGTATTACTACCAAATGATATGAAATTCGGTATAAGGGAAACCTTGAACGTGTGTCAACAGAACAGCAGTCACATATTTGGCATACACCACTTCCAAATTACTCATTTAGGGGACTTTAATGCCTAAAAAAGGGCGAAAAGTGCTATACCCTTTCCATGTTCGATCTAAAGAATGGCGTTGGCCATCGAACACTGCTCGAACACATCGAAAATTGCGGGTTATCTGAGGTCACATTGCACGTAAGTCGTGCGCAATGACTCACACATTCAATTTTATGTGCCTACGATCATTACGTCATCTACAATCACGACGATGGAATATGCCGACCATCCTATTATGAACTGAAATACGCTGTATTTGCTCCCAAGCAAATGTCGGCCTTTCTAGTGTTATTAACCCTATCTAGACCGGGCTTTTTGGGGCTTGGTTGGACCGGGGGGGGGGGCTCATTCGGCCCCCCCTCAGAACTCGCGAACGGTATATCGTAGGACCACCAAATTTTCAGAGGATGGTGTACTAGTAAAAATTTATCATAAGTACAATTTCTATGTCGTTGTGACGTAATATGACGCCATTATGATGTCATTAATGTGATTTTATTGGCCCAAACCGTCTAGATAGGTTATTTCCTTAAATGGAAATTATTAAATTTGGCAAAAAATGCCTGTCAGAAACCCGTTGCCATGGGAACAAGAAAAATATTATCTTATTCCACTGAAACGGATTTGTTGCCAGCAATATTTTAGGAAAAGTCACCAAGTTTGGTGGTTCTAGCTCTAGCCGTTCAGACGCTATGTGACATCAAAGTTGCCGCGGGCACTTTTAGCCCCCCCCCCCGGTCTAGATAGGGTTAATGCATTTTTACAGTGTTTGTCAGTAGCTTGTGGTGTAGAAAGAGATTTGACATATATAGCACCGAATGTAGCCTAGGGGAAGGTAGTTCAGGTATTGGAAGAACACCTAACAGATGTTCACAACCCCAATATTTGGATGTTTAGTGGATGGTTAGTTCGATAATGGGCCTATGAAGCTAATGATTTAAGCTGGGGTGGACGAATTTGCATATCTTTACGTATGTATGTACTTTAATTACTGATAAACATATAGAGATGTAAGTCGTGTAATTGACGAGAGTAAACACGGTTATTTGTGACTATGTTTAAGTGTGTTGTGACCAAAATGCGGCAATAAATGTGACTAGCTTCTTCGGTTATATGTATTACATATATATGTATGTATGTATTACATAATTTATAAATGACTCTACAAGCATTAGAGGTCACAAATTAAGGTCCTCAACATGTACTCTGTTTTAATTGTTTTAATCATGAAAACCAATTCAGTGTTCTTGTACATAATGACGTTGTGATAAGCATAAACCTTACAGTCGATTTTACATTCTATTTATTTTTTTGATTTCAATATCATACTCAATCACTTTATTTCCAGATAACACAGCTATGATTGAATACCTTGCATTACAAACGCTTAGGCCACACCGATTTAATTTTATGGATGACATCCGCGCGCGCATTGATTTTCGCCCGATCTCAAAAAAAAAAAAAAAAGATCACGTATTCCGAGGCTCTGGCCTGGCATTAGGCCTGGGTAGTGCATGGTGGTGATAACTCTGGTTGACGGCAGCCAGGCTACCGAAGCTCCAAGACTCAACTCAGTACATACGTACAGCAGTGTCGATTCATATATTCCGGAAAAATCCAGCATGTGTCGGCCTGTCGTATACGTCGCTATGTAATGCGCCAAATTCAAAATACCAGGTTTGTATTCCTGTGGTTTTGTAGCATTTTTATTTTTGGCCGGATTTTTATTTTTTCGCCCGCGCGCACTAGTTTGGGGGTCTTCAAAGGATGTCATCCATAAAATTAAATCGGTGTGGCCTTATTGAAAAATCGTCAATCACAATAATCGAGTAACCTAATAACATAATATCAACCGCTAAATAATTACATTTGCCTGATGTTGATTGCCGCTATATTGGCAGTCCTCATGTTCTGTATTATTGCACTTATCTCAGACACGTGTTTCAAATGATAAGAAGAAGGCAAAATGTCTGATGTCTTTTATGAAATCACATGCACAAATTAAAAGTAGTAAGGTTTTGGGGCAATTATGTCAATAGAGTATAGCCATTTTATAAGAAAGAGAAACAATTACAATGTTAGAGATACACGTTATATCGTACTCAATTACCATGCAACATGCCCTGTAGTACATGCTTTAGCTCATGCATTAATTTATTATGAATAGAAACATACCAAAGCGACCAGTTCAATGGAGATTTGCGACTTTAGTGTTGTTTTGATAAGGCAACTGAAAGAAGAGTGGCTGAATCTGAATGAAATCAGGTGTAAAAAAAGACCTTGAACTACGACATGTCAGACAGTCAGAGTCTAGGTGTAAAAAATATCAATCCCTTTTCCTGGAGACTGTTCAAAGTAACAGGCCTTGTAGATGAACGTTCATGTTTTTCTTCCTCCGTTTCCTGGTATACTTTTCTCCGAGGACTCATCACGAGGCAGCAAATCTCTTATACATTCCAAGTTCATCGGACACAGGGTAACCACAAAATATTATATGCACAAAGGGTAAATATATCATATGTAAACAGAATATCGAAATAAGATGAACGCCATTCGATAACAGCCAAGTCATGTCGTGTAGCATTCCATTCAAATGCTTTCTCAGCATTTTCGTTTGTTTACGGAAATTTGATAAAGTAAATACCGACTGTTTTGTCGACTAGAAGATTGTTTTGGACATTCGGCTGTGCAGAAACAGGCGAGACGTAGTAAAACATCCTTTTTGGATTTACTAGATGTTGGAAGCCGTTGAGTCTACAGTGTAGTTGTGTATATGACAGAGTACTAGCCCTTGAGTATAGATCGCTTACAAAGTAGTATGAACATGAGCATTCCACATTGTTTTTAGTTCTGTGCTGCTTTAGACATAAAGCTGCCTCGTGAGTTTCTCCCTCGCTGACCAGGACGTACACAGCACTGTCCTCCAGAAGTAGAGTGGTGTCTTGAAGGTATAACTGTCCTCCAACCTGGATCCAACTGGACCGGACCGGACTTCTCCAGTGCCGGACTTCTCCAGTGCCGGACTGTTTTTTTCATTGGTGAGGTTCCCATTCAATAGATGATCATATGCCTCTTGACTTTTTAAAAGTCCTGGGTTTGATGACAGATTATTAAAGAGTTGATGTCACGCCAATGTTCTACGTATTGTCCTCAGCGTGACGCCATTTTGTTTCTTTTCGGTAGCAGGGTCTGACAGTCACAGCTCATTGGTTCATTGTTTAAAGATCTAAAATTTTCCTAAATCTATTTACGAATAAAATTTTTCCACCGTTGCTGCTGTCACGTTTTAGATTACCGTCAGGGCTCGAAATTAAAGGTGGTCTAATGAACACTGACCACTAGAATTTAGGTTGTGACAACTAAAAAGACACTTTGTCACATTTTTTGGACAACAGAAAAGAAAACATCATAATGTCAGCTCTTCTTTGTTTTTCAGGCACACGTCCCGGCTTCTGGATCAGGAAAAATCCCACCGAATTCCTTGTCTACATTGCAATTATAGTGCGCCTAGGAGTGAACATAAGCAAAAAAAAGTTGACCTTAAGTTGAAGTCATTCAATACTTTCCGAAAAAGAGATTGGGACAGTTCATCCTCACTTTGGGACAATTGAAATATATTTTTTTGTCAGTGCTGGGACAAAAGGAAGAAACCTAATTTTGAGGACTGACGGTACTGCTCCTTAATATCCATACATGGTTGTTACACTCAATGGAGTTTGATTTGACTGCGAGGGTAATAAATATGGTAGATTGAAACATTTGAGGCAACTCTCTAAATTAAACCCATTCATATTCAGCTATTTTTGTCAGCTCCCAGTAGCATAAAATACCCAAAACAAGAATCCAAATCAAGACTCCAAACCCCTTAGCCTACCCCCCCTCCCGTGCAAAGACTCCTTAACAACAGTTTGACTAAAGTTCTGCTTTAATCTTACACTCAGTATTTTGCAAAGCATGTATTTACCATTTTTTTCTTAAACATTATTTATGCTTAAAGCATGCAGAGACATAAGACATTCTTACATTTCAAAATTAAAGTCAAGTTATATGTATAAATGCTTGTTGGTACAAATCAACATATAGCTCATCACTAACAAGTTTCAATATTAACATAAATATAGTGTTAAAGTTATAAAGTTCCTTACACTAATGTTCAAGAAAGCAATTCAAACAAAAATAGTATCCACAACTCAGAGTACCACATACTTAAATTGATATTAAATTGAGCTTCACGCCACTCTAAAAATGCAAACGTACTATTCAAAGTTTGCTAATTAGCGGTTCACCCAATGATAGTACGGCAATTAGTGGTTCAACCAATGGAAGAGATGCTGCATTTGTGTCTGTTTATTTGGGATTTCTATATTTCAGTAGAGGTGGGTGGAGCTAAGGGGTGATTTGAATGGAACTGACGATGCTATCTGCCAAACCAATATTCGCTATCATTGGCTGAACCGCCAATCGCCATGCTATAATCATTGGTTGACATGCGCATATGGAATGGTTAAACACGTTGTATGTTTGTTGAATAAATTTTACATTATATATAGCTTTAGGGAACATAAAAGCCAACGTCACTTAAAATACGCGTAAGGTAAGATTAAACACGTCGTGTGTTTGTTTGTTGAATAAACGCTACATTTCATACAGCTTTTGGCATTATATAACCCCGGCCAGCGTCAACTGAAGTACGAAAAGGTAAGATTTAACAAGTCGTATGTTTGTTGAATGAACGCTACGATTAGATGGGCATCTGGGAATATATAAGCCAACGCCACTTAAAATGCACGCATGGAAAAATTAAAGATGCCGGATTTGTACCCTGGGTAAGAACAATAAGGAATTGCCCCCACTGTGACCTTCCCAGCAGATTGAATAGTGAATTGACCAATAAACTCATAAAAAGCCTAGACAGTCTATCCTCCAGAAAAAAAGACAGCAGATTTGCATACTGGTCAGTTTTCAAAGATTCATTTTTTATTATCTACTGGTTTTCAGTGTAACATTTTTAAAAGGCAGAATGTCTCAGATACTTGTTACAAAGCTACATAAGCAAGAAAATTGCAACTTTCAGTTTGAAAAATCAACCTTAATCGAATTCCAACTTTCAGATCAGCTCTGTTAACGTTTTATAAAAAAAACATATATGGTGCCCTTACTATATAATTGCTGTATCAAAGTGTCTACTTGTATATGTTTTTGTGCATGCAACTTGAAATGTCTTTCCCACAACTGAATTAGCTTTGGCAGTTTTGTGTCTGAAATATGGCTTGTAAATGTGATGACTACTTGCAGTCAGATACACCAGTGTAGACTTAGGCTCTGTGTGTAGAACTGGGCATGTAACTGACAGCCAAGGTCTCAAGCTACAAGCCATAACACGAATAAGGTAAGATTTAACACGTGGAATTTTGTTGAATAAACGCTACATTTCATATAGGTTTCGGGAACATATAATCCAACGTCACCTAGAATACGTATGGGGAAAGGTTGAACACGCCGCATTGTTGTTGAATAAACGCTACCTTTCATATAGTTTTTAGAAACATATAAGCTTATTAACATACCTGATTAATTAAGTCATGTTTCAAATTTGACTTAAATTTTGAAACAGAAATAGTTTTTCAGTAGACTTTAATCGATCTTAAAGTTTGCTGAAATATTTCCCTGTCTTTTAAGTCTCAATACGGATTTCGTAAATTTTGCTTAAATATCTGTTTACGTGCTGTGTTGGAGCAAAAGATATTGTCTTCAATATCAAAAATGGTAAGCTTTCGTCTCTATTGAAAAGAAAACCATTTGGTCTGAGAAAGTAACTTCTGCACCCTGAAAAAAACGTAGATGGTTAGAGGACAAGGGGAAGGTTGTGGGTGAACGGCGGTGGTTTCCTATGGTGTGTTACAAGTCTCCTTCCCTTGGACCTCCCACGGCCAGTAGGTGTTAGGTAGTGTGACGGTGGGGAGGGACGCACGCCTTCGTGTGTTACGGGTTCCCTCCCCTGGGACCTCCCACGGCCAGTAGGTGTTAGGTAGTGTGACGGTAAGGAGGGACGCACGCCTTCGTGTGTTACGGGTTCCCTCCCCTGGGACCTCCCACGGCCAGTAGGTGTTAGGTAGTGTGACGGTGGGGAGGGACGCACGCCTTCGTGTGTTACGGGTTCCCTCACCTGGGACCTCCCACGGCCAGTAGGTGTTAGGTAGTGTTACAAAAGGGAACGACGTACGCCGTGGTGTGATTCGGGGAACGTTCCCTGAGAACTTCCATGACCCAGAGACACTAGGGGATGTGAGGAAGGCGATGTGAGTCTCCGTGACCTCCTGACCTCTTGATAGAATCTCATCTGTGACGTTGGCGTACGTCCTCACACTTTGGTCTGTATCCTGGGATACTAAACCCGTCCTCAGATTTCTGCGGGCTCTTATACCCTGGAACTCGAGGAGGGCCTTTCTATAAATGTTATCACACTGGGCTTTGTTCTGTTCAGCTGACCCATATGTGACCATATATCTTCCAGACCCATGTCTTTTGGAAGTCGTTGTGACATCCAGGGAATCCCATCGAGTTTGCCCACTATCTGTGACAACATGAAGGGAAAACCCCGCAGGATTAGCAGAGAAAGGCATGGGACCGCTCTTCTCATCATCTAAGATCACGCTGTAGGTATGTGCTGGGGCAAACAGGGGGCACTGTGCAGCAGCTTCTTGTTCTGACATCTCCCGGGATGTGCGCGGGAGAGGCGGCAGGGGGCGCTGCGCAGTGGCCATGTGATCGAGGATCTCACTATAGATGGGTTCGACAGACTGTAGAACAGCCGGCAATGACCTACAGGATGCCGCATCGTATGAGGCGTCCCTTGGCCCGCGAGTGCGTGCAGGGAGGGAGGCTGACCGGACCACACCGGAGATTACGTCGTTGTGCGGGAGACTCGGCAGGGGCCTCTGAGCACAAGCTAAGCCATCAGGGATTTGGCTGTAAGTAGGCTGAATGGAATGCAGGGCAGCGGGCATTAACCTACAGGAAACTACGTCATCTGACGCCATCT